GTTTTGAGAATTTCAGAAAAGAACAGAGAACCTCAGAGCAGTTCCGTCAACATTAGAGAAGTCACATAGATTTTAAAGAAGTTTAGAGAGCTTCAGTGAATTGATAAACCTTTAAAGGAGAGCCATGATCTTTAGAAAAATTAGGGTTGAGTAACGAGTAACGAGCTATTGACACTATTGATTAGTCTACGGTATTCAGAAGTTTTTTCGCACGTATTCTCGGTCGTATCGCAGTAAATTACCGTGGAAAACATACAGCAACACCTGCTTCGCAGTAAGACCATAGAGGTAACTCTAAGACCACTGGGTCCCGAAGAAAATCATTATTATTTTTGGCTCACTCAGTACCAGAACAACGGTCCCAAGCAGTCCCAAGCTATTTCACTCACCCCTGCATGTTCTGCATGAATTCACACACCCCTGATGTTATCTGTCAAACTTTCATAGCGAATCAAAACAAACATAGTGTAGTAATAGAATTTCAACTAGAATAGGGTACGTTAATCGTTTGCTTGGGACCAATAGGCTACTAAAGTGGTGAGCCAATTTAAAATCGTTAGTTTCGTATTGATTGTTGGTAAGACTTAGAAGGTTGATCAAATTTCGTCGCGGTTGGAGTGTAAAAGTGTTCCAAAGTTTTTCCACACGCCTGCTGAAGCCACTGATTGTTTGGATTGTTCGTGAAAGGGATCCAGTTGAGTTTCTCACGAGGCGTTACATTGGTACACTCACCGTCGGTTGTCAGTTGCGCTGCACTCCCTATTGAAAAGTACTGTTTATCGCTTCCCTAATAAAAAATAACCATAAACGAACGATAACCCAAATCATTGAACTATTCCACAAATGGTTTGGATGATACCCAGAACACGTCGTTAAGCAAATTAACCATACAATTTTTATTAGGGTTGGTTTGTTTTGCTCTGTGCATTTGCACACCCGGTTTCTTATCGCATATAATATCGTAAACAAGGACTCAAAGCAGCAGGCTCGAAAGTTGTGAAGTGCTCCATTGTTTCGGTCTGCATACTAATCGGTGGTGCCGTTGAATTGGATAGAGAAATGCGTCTCGGTTCTCTCAGTGGTCTCTAAAATTGAGGAATCGATTGATGTGTACGCCCTGGTTAAATTCCGGCTTTAGTGAAGGTACAGTTAGCAGCAGAACCATAAGTGTTGTGGTAGGAAATTCATAGTGTTTGCAGTCGTACTGGCTCGGGGTGTGTTTACTATAAGTTTTCGCTTTTGTAAACTACTCAAGTGGTTTCAATTTAGGAAAAATCCTTTTTTATCATTCAACTTCTGGTTGGGTTTGGAAAATATTGGTATCATGAATTCATGTAAGGCTTGCGGTGGGATCTTTGATCGATCCGAAAAGTGCGTACTGTGCAGTGGGATTTGTGATAAAGTTTTCCATCCCGGTTGTGTCGGACTGAATGTGACGAATTTCAAGGCATGGACTGCAAATGTTGGGTTGCTGTGGTTCTGTGAGACCTGCAGAGTAAACTTTAACCTTATCGTCATGAATCGTGAGGCCGTCATCATGAAGACAATGCGCGATCTACTTCTGCGCGTCGATTCGTTGGATCTTCGAGTGGGTCAGTTTGGCGAAAATCTCAAAACGCTGAATGGTTTTCTTTCCATGCCGACATCTGGTAGGCGCGAATCCAATATTTCTACGAGACTGCAACAGTTCCTGGTAAGCGGAGCTGCAATGAATGATTCATCTGAGTTTTACAACAGCATCGATCGGTTCAACCTCGATTCTTCACTTCTTTCAAATGCGGCTAACAACACAATCGTAAATGCTGATGAATTATCCATTCTCACTAGCGCGAATGATGTAATGGGGTCAACTACAATTACTGAAGCTACCCTTACTAGTGCCATGACTACAACAACTTCTGCTGCCCCTGCTACTTCTAATGTCATCAATGCTACTGCTACTGCTGCTCCTATCACTGCTACTGAAACTGCTATCACTGCTACTGCCACTACTTTTTTTTTTTCTATTTAAGAGACTTTCAGCCTTGGGCTGGTTCGTACTGCCACTACTATTAATACTACTGCTTCCACCGCTCTTGTTGCTTCTACCGCTCCTGCTACTTCTACTCGTCCTGCTCCAGTCGCTTCAACATCTGGCCTTATCAACCGCCCTTCTCCTGACAATCCGTCGGCTGATGACAACTGTCGCTTGAAAGTGGTTTGCATAAACCGTTTGAGGATACGACGTGAATCCATTTACTCCCTTAAATCGTTCTACGTTACGCCTTTTCACAATGGACAGACAGAGGAAGACATCATCGATTACCTGCGTGAAGTTACGAACACCGATACCTCGAGGATCAATTGTGTGAAGCTAGTGCCCCGCAACAAAAACATCGAAGAATGTACATTCGTGTATCGTTCAAGCTCTCCGTATCTGACGATTTGGCTTCTATCGTCGGTGACGCTTTCTACTGGCCAGAGGGAGTAGAAGCATAGAGGTAACTCTAAGACCACTGGGTCCCGAAGAAAATCATTATTATTTTTGGCTCACTCAGTACCAGAACAACGGTCCCAAGCAGTCCCAAGCTATTTCACTCACCCCTGCATGTTCTGCATGAATCCACACACCCCTGATGTTATCTGTCAAACTTTCATAGCGAATCAAAACAAACATAGTGTAGTAATAGAATTTCAACTAGAATAGGGTACGTTAATCGTTTTCTTGGGACCAATAGGCTACTAAAGTGGTGAGCCAATTTAAAATCGTTAGTTTCGTATTGATTGTTGGTAGAAGTTAGAGAATTCCGTCCAAAAAACGACAAAGTCCAGATCTCCACCAAACCGGCATGAAAAGTTTAATTTGTCTGTCCATTCACCAAAACGTTGTAGTTTTTCTACCAGAAATGTTCAATAAAACTTGCCCCTCCATTCATCAGAACTGTGCAATTTTTAGATCAGGAATTCTCAATTCATCTTGCCCCTCCATGCAGCAGAATGTTGTAAATCATACACCAGAAATTTTCAATACAAACTTGCCCCCAGAAAATTTAACACCAGAAAATTTGAATTGACCAGACCGATGCAAATTTTCCACCGTTAGTGTTCAATTAAAATTGCTTCTCCAATCTTCTGATTGGTGCCGATTTCCTTTTTCCATTTTCCACTAGACCTTTTCAAATAAAGCTTGCCCCTATTTTCACATTTTTCACCATAAATTTTCAGTAAAGCAGCTTCCCTCCAATCATCAGAATGGTGCAAATTGTACACCAGAAATTATTATTAAAATTTGTTTCTCTATTCAGTAAATTTAAGACCAAAAACTTTCCGAAAAGCTTGCCCATCCGTTCACCACAATGGTGCAGGTTTTCCACCAGAAATTTAAAATTAAGCTTAATTTTAAATAAAGCTTGTGCCTTCATTTGCCAGACTAGTGCAAGTTTTCCACCAGAAATTTTCTGTTCATTTCATTTATCAAAGTGATGCAAATTTCGCAACAGAAATTTTCAATAGAGCATGCTCCTCCATTCACCAGAACGCACCACCAAAAATTGTCAGTGAAGTTTTTTTCACCATGCACCTTTGTGCAATTTTCAGGCTTTGCCTCTTCATGCAGAATGGTGCAAATTTTCCACCATCAATTTTCAATGAAGCTTACATTCATCAGAACGATGCAAATTATGCACCAGAAAAATTAAGAAACCTTGCTTTTGCATTCACCATAGTATTGCGAACTTTCCACCAGAAATTTTCAGTTAAATGTGCACTTCCAAATTTTTAGCGCGATTCAATTTTAGAACTAGAACTAGAAATATTCAATCAAAAGCTTTTTCTTCGATTTACCAGCACGATGGTGAATTTTTTTAAACTTTAAATTTATCCTTTTCTTTTAACCCTCCATGAACAATCTTGAAAAAAAAATACACCAGAAATTTTTTGTATTCACCAATGTGGTGCAATTTTTTGACCAAAAAATTTCATTGAAGTTTGTCCCTTCATGCACCTTTGTGGTGCAATTTTCAGGCACCATCTCAAAGGAATTGACGCAATAAAAGGGTTTCAATTTTACCTTCAAATCAAGTTATCAAGAACTCTAGATATTTTTTATCATAACTTTGAAAATGTGGAAAATAAAAATCTTATTTATAAAAGGTGGGGCAATTGCCCCACCTTGCCCCACCCTGTGCACGCCAGTCGGAATGAGACTTGGAAAATTATGTATGTAAACCCCCCCCCCCCCCCCCCCCTTAACAACAACCTCTCCACCTCCCTTAACAACAACCCGAAAATGATATGGACTTTGACGATCACCGATTCCGGGACATAAATTTTAAGCAAACCACAATACATATAAGTAAAAACAATTTTTTACACGCAGAGCCATAGTTTTTTAAATTCTTTGAGACTTCCAGGTTTTATAAGGAGACAAATAAATTCCTGAGGATTCCCGGTTTTCCAGATTTTTTAAGTTAGTAAACACCGTGACTAATACCATGGGTTTGGTTATAAACTTTCTATTGAATCTTTTGCTTCAAAGGTTCATATCGTACATAAGTGTTTATGAGATAATAATTTAATAAGTCTAAAACATCAAACATTTATTTGATGCGCCTTCTCTTAGGTCACTTTTTAGTCACTATTTTTACAACCATAAGTCACTATTTGGTCACTTATTTATTCAACATGGTCACTAAAATCACTATTTCTGACAGGAGTGATCGCTACCAGCCCTGCTCGTACCCCAGCCGGCGCCGCGGGGAGGAAGGGATAGGAGTTACTGGGCAAGAGGCTAAGGACCAGCCTTTAACTTCCTACCAATTCTCGGAAATGTTTCGTTTACGATATATAGGGTTTGTTGTCTAAATTGCATTTCTGGCTCACTGTGTAGTGAACTAAATTTCCTGCATAAAAATTAAAAAAAAACGCAAAACTGCAATTTCGGTGAATTCACATACAATATAAAATAAAAAAAGGTATAACATTTGAAAATCAACATTTAATTACAAGTACGTAAGATAAAACTATACATCAATAACATCTTCTTCATCTTCCATATCAAATCTATGAAATTGTAAACGATCGTACGGAGGCTCATTTGTAATCCTGTCGGGAATTTCTTCATAAATATTAGTGTGCAATGTACTGGCTTCAAAATGTCGTATCGGTTGTTCGTAAAAGAAGGAATCCGTTCGGGTGGTGATCGTTTCCCGAATGTTAAATAATCTTCTTTCCTTCGGCAGTCTTCGATAAAATGGTATAAAGTGGTGGCGTTTGTAGTTGTTGTAGATCATAAAAATCACATGTGACATCAATACACCTGTGCCAACTGTTGCGAACAGAATCTTCCACTTTGAAGGGATGTAGTAAGGCTCAGTAATCGTTCTGGTGGGGTATGGTTGAATGAGACCAGATGGATGATAGGATATGGTTGAAGTCGGTGCCATTTCTGTTGATATTTGCTTAACATTACACGGAAGACCTCGCACTGCTAATCTGTCATGCTTTACTGTGTACTTAAACCGAACGAAATATTCTGGCTCACGCTCTGCTATTTGATAAAGCCATAAGCAATCCCAAGGATTTAGATCCACTTGAATCATTATCAGGACTGAGTTAAATATTAACTGTAATTTAAACAACCGATTACCGGTAAGATTTAAATTTATGAGATGATTGAATCCGCTAAACACATTGGCATTCAAATAACTAATATGATTGTAACTTAGATTGATTTGGTTTATCTTTTCACACGCGTCAACATTTGATTCTGTTAAAGTATTGAACTTGTTATGGCTTAGATCTAATGTTTTCAAAACCGAGAGTTGACAAATATAGGAGGATGATTCGTTTAATTCATTTAAAGATAAATCTAATGAAACAAGATATTCAAGGCCACAAATAAGAAGTTTCTGAACTTTTGAACGTTTCAAAACAATATCTCGTAATTGACTTACATCACTTCTGTTTACAATAATTTGAGATTCATTTAAACTATCAACGCCTTCTACTTTAATTGACCACAAGCTTTCTGGGATATGTGTGAACACTGTTTGTAAATCAGTAAAGAAAGTGTTCATTACATTGAAATATCTCAAGTGTTTTGAATTATTCATAATCAAATCGATACCACCACAATTGATCATCGATATTTCATGCAAATTCAAAAGCGTATCCATAACATATGTACCATTATTCTTTACGTGAATATTTTCCATTCTAATCGTTTTAACTTCATTCAATCCAACAAAACTATCTGCGGCTAACCGAAAAATTGTAATACTTTGGAGATCCAACTGTTTTAAATTAATAAATCGCACAAAGGAAAGTTTTTCTAATTCTTCCACACAAAAGTTACTCAGCACTAAGCGTTCAACGATTCTGGGAAATTGAATGTAGCGCAAACCCAGTTCATTTCCAGAAGGTCCACAGCCATTAAGCTTAAAGCTTGTTACGTTCGAAAACACTTTCACGGTGTGATGATTGAAAATCGGTTTTTTTGCACAATCAAAGTTTATTGAAAATTCCATTTCGCTGAAACCGTAATTGACAACTACTTCCAGTACACATCCGCTCGTATTTCTCAAACAGGAGCAATTTGAATTCAAACCGTTTGGTTGCACGGACAATGCATCTTTTTCACTTTCCCAACAGAGCGTTGATCTTGACATTGAAATTAAAAGAACAAGAGATAGAAGAATTCTGAAACTATCGCAAATACTTCGATCCATTGCGTGGTGTTTTTCGATCGATACTGAATCTCTTCTATCCATTTGAAATAAGTGGGCATCGTATAAACAAAACTGAGAATATAATTCACGCACGCACGCGCATGCACGTATTGGCTATTTAGCCAGAATGGGATGTACAGAAATGTGCACCTTACTGGCATGGTTGATTCTGATGGATTTTGTAATTATCGATCATCAATTATCAAACACCAACCGATGTACAGGGGATACTCAAAAATACTAGGATAGGCACATGTTTTTTGTCAACTTTGGAGTTTTGCTACTTTGTCAAATATGGTCCAATATTAGTTATTTTTAAAGCATTCGATGTAGCTATGAAAATAACCATGGTCACCGAATACTGGAGATACTCCGGGATTCCGGAAGCCTTGTCTTACGTGCTAAATTTGTTGTGATTATATAGGATGCCGGTTAAAAATCGATATTTTTAGTAAATAGAAACCAATAGAAAGAAGAACCATTTCCAAAGCGAATGATACGCTAAGAACTAAAATCGGGCTATAACCAATCGAGATATCACCATTTCTCTGGAATCGATTCGGATGGAGGGTCCTGAATGCGGTCAGATCTTTTAATCACTCAAAAATGCCGTGCGACAGCTTTTTCTGCGTGGTTTTTAATCAATAGGCTTTAGATAGACTTTAAACTAAGACATCATATCAAGAAGACTGGCAACTTTTTTTAGAATCCAAGCGACAGATACAATAGTGCTGCGCTTGAGTGAAGGTGGAAGCAACGCATAGAAAAATGAGCAAATACACAAACCTTTCTTCTGAGGATGTAATCTTTGCTATCAAATTCATTCAAAGCACTTACCTTTGAGCGGCAGATGACGCGATTGTACCTGTCTCATAGCGTTCGTATAAGAAAATGAAGAGTTGCCAGTCTTCTTGATTTGTTGTCTTCGCTTTAAATGATTAAAATTGACCACATTAGGCACTCTCGTAACCTCCGGGATGCCCCCGGGGGAACCTGTAGCAGGGGACAATGCTGACACACATGTGTAGATTTTTTGACGTAGGACTTGTTGTTGTATGGCAACACAGATCATATCACTTGTTTTTTATATTTGAAAACCATGGAGTGATTTCAGTGCATTTTCTTCTATATTCTCGAAATTATCAAAATGTGTTCACGTGTTTTATTTTTGATCAAAACGTTTCTAATAAAATAATCCGTATTTTCATGATAAACTGCCCAACAGGTTACGGGCCCAGCGGAGCAGGCGGATAAAGCAACAATCAATACGAAACTAACGATTTTAAATTGGCTCACCACTTTAGTAGCCTATTGGTCCCAAGCAAACGATTAACGTACCCTATTCTAGTTGAAATTCTATTACTACACTATGTTTGTTTTGATTCGCTATGAAAGTTTGACAGATAACATCAGGGGTGTGTGGATTCATGCAGAACATGCAGGGGTGAGTGAAATAGCTTGGGACTGCTTGGGACCGTTGTTCTGGTACTGAGTGAGCCAAAAATAATAATGATTTTCTTCGGGACCCAGTGGTCTTAGAGTTACCTCTATGGATAAAGTGCGTGGAACTGTTTTTTGAGCTGTATTCTCATTGAATTGTCGTTTCAATTCGGATTTTTGTTGTTGCGATGGCTACCGGTGAGAAAATGCTGTCTTTCCCCAAGCTGAATGGGTCAAATTACGACAATTGGATCTTCCGGATGAAGCTGCTCCTCTTGAAGGAAGGTAATTGGGCTATTGTCCGTGAGGAGAGGCCTGCGGGTACGAGTGCGGCAGCAACAGCGGAATGGACCAATAAGAACGACCAAGCAATGGCCACTATTGGTTTGGCAGTGGAAGATGGACAATTGATCCACATCAGGAAGGCCAAATTAGCGTCGGAGGCATGGAAAAACCTGGAGAAATTCCATGTCAAGCGTACACTAACCACAAAGGTGTCACTAATGCGCAAAATCTGCCGTCTCCGGCTCGAAAGAGGCGGTGATATGGAAGTGCATATCGGTCGTCTTACGGAACTTTTTGAGAAGCTGAATGATTTGCAGGAGGCCAAAGTACTCAATGATCACTGGCTCGTTGCGATATTGTTCAGCAGCTTACCTGAGGAGTAAGAAACACTCGTAACTGCGTTGGAGGCACGCCCAGATGAAGATCTGACCTTGCATTTCGCCAAAGGAAAGCTGATAGATGAATGGCAGAAGCGGAAAAATCGCTCTGAAGATGATGATGATCTAGAGGCGACGTTGCGTGCCGGTCCGAGTAATAATAGTGGAAAGTGTTTTTTTTTCTGTAAAACGTCCGGGCACAAGAAGGTCGAGTGTGATAAGTTCAAGGACTGGAAGAAGAACAGGGAAACGAAGCAAAACGAAGAAAAAGTTCACTGTGCGGTGAACGTTCAGAATGAAGATTGTCAATGGGCATTTCTTTAGCAAACCCCACACGCATCAATATATTGACGCGAAAGGGAATTATTGACAATAATATTGATGGTGTGACTTCAGAAATATTGTCAATCTCGATATATTGACGTCAATATAGAATGTATTGACAATACGATTATTGTCAATAAAATCAATCGTGTAGGGTCCACTTTTCTGCGGGTTCCGAGTCAGCGGAAAGACTGTGGATTTTAGATTCGGGTGCTACGTGCCACATAGTGAATAACCGTGATTTTTTTGATACAATTGACGAAACTGTTCGGGAAGTAGTGTACGTAGCTAACGGTGCCAGAGTGATGGCAAAAGGTCATGGACACGGTAAGATGAAAGTGTTAGATAACAAGAACAGAAGTCGTGTTATCACAGTGGAAGAAGCTTTGTTCGTTCCGGAGATGAATACTAATCTTCTGTCTGTGAAAATGCTCGTGCGTAAAGGCTATGTGGTGACATTTGTTAGCAAAGGAGCTGGAATCGCTCGTGATGAAGTTGTCGGTGCATACGCGGATCTGAAACGCAATTTATTTGTTTTGCGAGTATATGGTGAATCTGCAGCGTTGGTACAGAACGACAGTGGTTGCATTCATGGTTGGCATCGTCGATTGGGTCACAGAAACTGCAACGCAGTTGTGAAGATGTGTAAGTTGGCAGACGGTTGCGAAGTCGTAGAGTGCGAGTGTGATGATGTTTGTGAAGTGTGTATAAAAGGCAAAATGCACAGAAGTTCCTTCCCGAAAGGATCAGAGTGCAAGTCAGTGATGGATCTGGTGCACACAGATATTTGCGGACCGATGCGAACGGCGACGTTGGGCGGTTGGAAGTATTTTCTTACTTTCATTCACGACCACAGCAAATCGTTTTTGGGGAGAGGCGGTAGTCACGGCGAATCATATGCAAAATCGCTTACCATCTCGCTCGATCGAAGGTACTCCCTATGAACGATGGTTCGGGCAAAAACCCAATCTGAATTATATTAAACCATTCGGTATCGATGTTTACTGTCATGTACCCAAACAAAAACGAGGTAAGCTGGACGAGAAGGCTGTGAAGCTGAAGTTCATGAGGTACAGTGAAGAGACCAAAGGGTACCGTTTGGTGGACGCTAATACCGGGAAATTGACGATAAGCAGGGATGTTAGATTTCTAAATACGTTCGATCCTTTTAGGGACGGTCCATTAATTATGTCACGCAAATTGGCCCATTTTTAAAACCCCCCTCCCCCCTTTGTCACATTTTTTGTATAAACCTTTTTTTTTGTATGGCTCGTCATAGTTTTCAAAACCCCCCTCCCCCCTAAATGTGTGACATAATTAATGGACCCCTTATGGAGAATCGAGAAGATGATGTTGTTGTCCCGTTGAGTGTTTCACCTGTCGCTGTATCTGAAGATACTGCACTGCTGGTTGATGACCCTGATGACATGTGGGTCGATTCCGATTGTTTTTTGAACGATGACGTTAATGACGATGAACCTAATGGCGATGAATTATTTCATGAACCGTTAGACGATCCTTTAGAGCTGGCAGTTCGTCGTTCAGAGCGAACAACCAAGGGTATTCTGCCGCAGAGATATGCCTGTGTAGCGGCACAGCTAGGGATGGAGCCCCGGAATTACGCAGAATCGCAAGCTAGTCATCACAAGAATGAATGGCGGCATGCTATGATAGAGGAGTTGGAGTCCATTCAAGAAAATGACACCTGGGAAATTGTTGACCTGCCACCAGGAAAACGAGTGTACAAGTTGAAGCGGGATGCGGAAGGAAAAGTCAAGCGTTTCAAGGCACGACTTGTTGCTCAAGGCTTCAACCAGCGGTACGGGACTGAGTACGACGAAGTTTTTGCACCAGTTGTACGTTTGACCACATTTCGTGCTCTTTTATCGGTTGCGGCGAAGAGAGGTATGATAGTGCAACAGTATGATGTGAAATCAGCTTTTCTCTATGGCAACTTTGAGGAGGAGATTTTTATCCGGCAACCTCCCGGATTTGCTGTGGATGGTGCGCAAAACAAGGTGTGCCGTCTGAAGAAGAGCTTATTCGGATTGAAGCAAGCGGCTCGATCTTGGAACAATCGGCTCCATGAAGTTTTGG